TACAACATGATAAAATACATTGAAATACAATAGTACATAATAAATTACCATTAAATATAAAAATACAAAAAATACATTGATTTACAAATACATCTGGAGGCTGTCAGGCTGGGGAATGCTGCTATAGCCCTATACAGACGCTCAGCTCCATACATAAACTAATGGAAGGTGAACAGAGTGACAGCGCATCTGTGCAGCATCAGCAAAGAGCTACTGCCCAGGCTGACCTTATAGCCAGTAGCAAAGAGGTACAGGAGAGTTTGCATGCATTTGGAGTAGAAGAAGACCATGACAACAAAGAAATAATGTTGAAAAAGTTAGCCTTTCTTTTGTCCATCTTCTCCCTGTCCCCTCCCTGTCCCTGTCACTTCACTTTGTCCCCAAAGGGTTCCCAAGCCAAGGCTTATACCTTCTGAAAATTATAGCTTCAAAAATTTTTAATTGCTGCCACAGTGTGCTTGTCAGGACAGAGATAACAATTTCATAGTATTATGAAAAAGGTCGACAATTTTAGGAAGTCACTTCTATGAGAGGGAAATTCCATCTGTCCAAATTACATTTCTGCGCAAACTGATAACCGACTTGGTGAACTGCTCCATCCTAAACTGGAGATACAAATAGATTTATAGAGTAGCCATGCAGGTTCATGCCTGCAATTTAATTTTAGTTTATAAGTGAATATAAGATTAAACTAATGATATTCATTTTAATTTCATTTTACAGAAAAACAGAGAAAGCATATGGTAGAATATCTGTAATAACAGATGGAGTATTACTAGCACTAGATACCAAATTTAATTATCATATTCATTTTTAAACGTCTGACATATAAATTATTATACCTCATGGTGCTCTGTTCCTAATTTTTCATAACTAGAATGTGGAAACACTTATCTTTCAATACTTCAACAGTTTTATGTTTAAGGAGCTATATCAACAGACTATCTCAGGTTCAAGCATGCATATTTTAAAGACATTTGTACTTTTAAACAAAAGAACTGAAGAATGCAGATTCATTTTAAGTCAATACATTGAATCCAATCTGTTAGAGTCCACCCACTGAAATCAATGAGAGATTAGTCATGACTAGCTTCAGTCCCAGTGATTTCAATTTATTTATTCCAAGTATGACTAAGTCTGGATCCAGCCCACTGTCTACAATGAACAATTATCCTGCTAGTATGTCACAAATGATAATAAAACCTTCTTGAGTTACTTATTGCTTAATCAAATGGTATATAAAGAAAAGGTACTGTACTTTCCATGGCTGCTCTATACTTGTGAACCATGACAGAGGAAGACACTTTGCTCCCCGTTTTTCAAAGCATGCTAACTAGCAGGCATCAACCTGTCTCTCTCCCATCTCTCTCAGACATTATTTTGATCTTTTTTTCATTTTCAAACCTAAATATAGGTTGGGTTACATTTACAGGAATGTTTGTGCTAAGATGACTAAACCTTTTGTGGCATCTTGGTTGGTTTCAACTGTGGACTTTGGATTTCTTTCCACTCATGGACTTATCTATGCTTTTTGTGTGTTTTTTTGGACTAGTTATCCTTGTATCAGTTTTTCTTTAATTTGCCATTTAATGTTCATTTTATCCCAAGCACATAATAAAGTTTACGTAGATGACTGAGTAGCACAACCAATATTTAGAGTGGTGAAAATTAAGGCCAAAATCTTAACCATATTCACATTGAAGGCCTCGGCAGTTATAGGCAGCCTATAAATATATAAATAAATAAATTGAATTAAGTTTAACTGGGCCTTATCAATGGGATTTTTTCCAAGTAACTATACAGGTAGTTCCCTGGTTATGGATGCATTTCTTTCCTGAGAACGTTAAGTCGAATTTGTATGTAAGTTGCATCACATGAATAAGCTAAATGTTTGTCTTAGTATATGCATATATTTTATATTTCTATGCATAAAAAACACTTAACACTTCCATATTCACTAAAATATTTTAAACAAAACAGTATTGTAATAATGATAATAATACTGTAATCAAGTACTAAAGAGAAAGAATTGGCATGTATGTGTGTAGATATACAGTATTGGAAAAAACAAATTAAAAAAGAGTTCTTTAGAAAGTTTAGAACTTTCTTGAGGTAACATTAAGCCTAACATAAACTGATAATGATGGAGATAAACTGGTGCTGGGGAGAAGATTACCACGGGAGTTGCTTTCTTGAAATAGGCCTCAAAGATGGTCTGTACCGCCATTTTATTTTTTCTCACCATAAGTGGCCTCGTAGTGGCTGAGGGCCTGGTTACAAGAGTAAATGCTAAAGAAAAACCAAAGGGGAACAATGCATCCTATATGTGCCCCAAAACTGGCTTGGCTATGCTTGAGCCAACTCCCAGAACAAAAAGCTGTGAATACTTCATCCCTAGGGCTTATGGCTGTCCATGTGTTCATTAGTACAGGTTGTTTGTAACCCAGGGACTACTTGTATTTACAACTGAGGTGTAAATCCTGCAGTATTCTAAGTGAAGACAGGGCTGACCATGAAGAATTTAGTAGTCAACGCTTGGAAGCTGCCCTATACTAGCAGAACATTGGTCAATCTAGTTGAGCATTCCCTATACCATCATTTTCTGACCTTCTAACCTCAAGATATTTAGGAGTTCAACTCCCATATGTCCCCAGCTAGGAATCCCAGGAGTTATAGTTCAAAACCTCTGGTCAGCACCAAGAATGACAATCTGCATTAACTGGAAGTAGCTAAGTATTCAAAGTGTTTAACATGAAATGTTTTTGGCCTATCTGGAGGCACCATGGTTTGAACCTGGAATCTTTTCCATGAGAAGTATCTGCTCAGCCACTGAGTTACAGGCCTCTTGTAACTGACCTCTATAAATTGATCACAAGTGTGCATTGCGTGCTTGCTTAAGAACACCTTGCTGTCTAGTTCTTTTTGCAAGAATTCTACCAACCAGCAAACCTTGCATAGTTCTTTAGCAATATAAGCAACTGGCCCACAACATGCTACATACATTTTGCATACACAAATGGACAAAAGGCTTGTGTATTCAGTAGTACATACCAGTTCCTTTGCAGATATATGGAGGCTTGAAGAATTTCACAGCACCATATACATTGACTACAGTACCTCCTTTAAGACGATTCAGAGGGGTGTATGTGTACTTTGGGGAAACAGGCTATAAAACAAAAGAACAAGGTATCACATGTGAACAAATATCCATAGAAAGTTGACTTTTAAATATTGTATCAAAACTGTTCTCCCTTGCCTGGCTTTAGAAACAGGGACTGGATGTCTTACACATTATGAATATTGATGTTACATTTCTCTGAACACTGGATTGGATACAAAGATGCCTATCCTCCATCTAAAGACTTTTTGGAAGAAGGAAACTTTTGCATCTAATCATAATAATTCTTAGAATATGATTCTAAGTATTTTATTATTCATTATTCTTATTTCTCAGCAAGGATTGTACTAACTGTATTTTGGCCCATTAGCTGAAAATGCCTTGGGTAGCAAGTAATCATTCATTCATTCATTCGAAACGAATAAACACCAACAATCTCTCAACATGAATAAACACTTTACAGGACATTATACAGTTAGAATAAGTGTATAAACCACTTGCATGGACAGATAAAATGTACAATTCTGATATACACAGTGACAAAGAAACATATGCCAAATTATTTTTTGACATAGTTGATTTTCAATTTGGCCCTAGTCAGTACAGAAACTTGGCAATTGCTTGAATTTATATTGGAGAATTCTGAATTGTTGCCCTCTCCTGATACAGCAAATTTGTTTTAATAAAGTTTTGGACAAGCCACTGGGACATGAGCAATTGTAATTTTTCCAGCAATGAGCAGAAGGTGCCATAGGCATTCTAGTTATTCCTGTCATCATCTTGTTCTGCTGGCTGGCCTAATATCAACTGTAATACTTTCATATTACCTTTAAGAATTTAACGTGTTCAGTAAATTAGTGCATTTGCCAGCATTTCTGGACTTGAACACTTTTGGTTCAGTGATACTGCTCAATGAAGGATTTTCTACATGCAGAAGAAAAGTTAAAAGGGCTTCAGAAACATAAAAGAGTCCAAGGTCTTGTTGTGAAGAGAGCTGACCAAAGGAGCGACTGCAGGATGCAGTGCCCAAACATTCAGGACAGTAATGTTTTGCCTTACTTCTCAGATAAAAGGGATTCCCTATGGAAGCTGCCAAATGGAAAATTACAAGATCCAGGACTATTTCTTCCCTCTGTCTTAAGGTGCTGCAAAACTTATTCTAGACATTGATTCTGCAATGCTTTGCTTATTTTCCAACTCCAAAAATACAAACTCACCATGGCTACTGTTTCTGACCCAGCTGCTGTACGTGATGACCTAGATGAAATCTGGGGGAAAAAAGAACTGACTATAGGCACCGCAGGACAGCAAAATTGATTTCAGACTTTCTATTTTCCAGGGCTAAAAATAAATTAAATACCATGTCTGGTTTCCAAATAGGTAATTTAGACAAGTGCAATAAATTATATTACAACTATAATAATTACTTTGAAAACAAGGACTTTACTAATATAACTAACATCACATACTTAAGTATTTCATATAATTCATGTCTACTTGTTGATCATTTACATTCCTTAGTGTGACTAGAGTCCCTATATACTATATACTTTCTCCAAGCCCCCCTTTACCTCTTGTGCTTCTAAACAATGTGCAGAAAGTGCTTGTAACAGTCATGCAGTAATTAAAAAAACCCACTTTCTTCTAAAGCCAGGTGGTCACACTTGCTCAATGGAAGAACCACATACAGCAAACGTCAGGTATTCTGAGAACCACAAACGGGCACCCACCCACACAAAACAGATCCAAAGAACTGCATGCAGCTACCAAGCTTCAGTTTGGCCACTCCGATGAAGCCTGGCATCAACGCTTGCTAATACAGAAATGAGTTCTTGATGTGTTTTTAATGATTAAGTCTTCAAACTCTCTTATGCTCTTACTTAGTCTAACCACAGAATTTGGAGAATGGGGAAGATCATAACAGTTTTCATGACTTACATAAATAATCGACCCAGCTTCATCAGATACTTCTAGTTGACAGCAATGTTTGTCATTTTCACTGTTGGACTCAGCCAAGCTGAATCCAGTTACTATCATGATGTCCTATTGGAAGCAAAGATTCTCAGTTATTTGGCATGTTATTTGTTATGCTAGTTTCCCTACATCCAGTCTCTTCAATCCCTCTTAGAAGGGAGAAAATATAACATTTTGCAAGGAAAAAAATACTGAGATGTTTAAGAAACTTGACAAATCTGTGCTTATCGGCCAAAGCTCCCTAAAACCATTTATTGGTGTTATACATACACAAAAATGTGGGTGACCAGTGAGTGGGGTGCCTGGGAGAGATCCTGAGTGTGTCCTAGCCATTGCATGGGACAACTGTCAACCCATCGTTTGACTGAGTGGAACAATTGCCATAATCTGATTATTCCTCATAGTTACACAACAGAGTAGCTAAATGTTTTATTTGTAGCTTATTTAAAAAGATACTGTATTTTGGAATAGTGTGAGGAAGTACTGCTGTCAAATTTCTTGCAACTGGGGTGAGCAAGGTAACTTTTTTCAGATTGTGAAGTTAGGGTAGGAAAACAACAATTCTTAACAAAACAAAATTGAGCAAACAACTCAAAGATTTTGGAATGTACAAGAATCCACATGATGAGTTGTTGAATAGCACTAGTCCCTTAAACAGAATACAGTTTAGAAAATCATCCTGATGATTGCAAAATGTAGTTCTAAAGGATCCTTTAGCCAATGTGTGTATAAATCTGGAAGAAAAATAGTTATAGCAGTCTCACTACTTGCTTCAATAGAAATACGGTATTTGCTCACCAACCAAACTTGTGTAGAGCCAGAGGAAGTCATTTTATAGAGAGTGGCTTTTGCAATGGTACTTTTTCCATTATATGATTTTATAATAGTTTTTAAAATGTCAAGGATTCAAAAACTAAAGTGAAGCAATATTGGGATAATACTTGCATGAAATAAGCCAGTTGATTTTTTAAAAATCTGACGGATTTCTATTGCTTCCTCAGAAGAAGTAGGATATTATTAATCAAACAGGAAAATAAAAAATCATATACGATAAACTATTTCTGTAGGAAAACTACTTAGGGTGCAATCCTATTGCAATAATCATAAACCCCTGAAATTGGAGGCTTGGAGGGGAGAAGTGGTTGAATCAATCTTCATTTCACCATTCCGACGGCCTGCATTTTGATCAGACTGGCTTTTTCTGCTCATGAGGCTAATTTCAAAAGTGTATATAATCCAGTGGAAGTTAGGTGTATACAAGCATAAGTGATGTCAATGGGATTACAGATGTCTCAGTAATCTCAATACAATGCATGCAAACCTCACTATACATCATCCTTCTCTAACCTTCTGCCTTCCAGATGTTTTGGACCTTAACTCCAACCATCCTGACCATTGACTATGAAGAGTCTATGAATAAGAAATGAACTCCAAAACATCTAGAGGGCACCAGATTGGAGAATTCTGCCAACAAGAGATCCATCCAATTATACACATGGCTACACTTCAAAATAAAATACACACATGACTTTTGCATACTTATTAGCATCTATTTAACTGGATCAGTGGCCCACTTTTCAGCACATTAGGGTAGCTTTCACTTCCAACTGTAGCTGTCATTTTGTATCTTTATTTAAAACTTTTCTATATCATCCTCTTACCAAATAGTCTCAGGACAGTTTTACAATAAAACAAAGTAAAGCACAGCATCATTTCTATACAGTAAAACCTCAATTAAACTAACAATTTAAACCTTAAAATACTGGGAAAATAAAAAGGTTTTAGCTTGGCACCAAAAAGAATTAAGTGTCGGCGCCAGGTGCACCTCTCTGAAGAGCGTATTCCTTAACTGGTGCACCATCACAGATGAGGCCCTTCCCTGGAAAGTCACTCTCCTAATGTCCTTCATGGAGGGCTCCTGAAGAAGAACCTCCGACCCATACCTTAAGGGTTTTGCTTTGCTGAAGCAAGCCATTATTCACAAGCCCCCCACTCTCTCCAGTCAGTGTCTGGATTTAAGCACATCCATTGTCTTTTGTAGACAGACTCCAGCGCTATGTGCCAGATGCTCCAGCATCTCTTAAAATCTTCAGTGCCATGTGGTATCCAGCTGCTAAGGGGACTTGGCAAGTTTTTTCCCCATGGAATTTTTCCCACAGCATATGCCTGCATTTATCCATAACTGATTTCAGTACAACAGCCCAGATGATCCTTTTAGATGGACTAAATGGATATAGGACATGGCCATCTTCTCTAAGGCATGTATTGATAAACTCTAGTGCTCAGGTTTCCTAAGGGAACTGACAAATAAGGGATGACATGCCCTTCTGGAGGCTGGGTCTGAACTAAGCTTATGAATGGTATATTTGCCCATTATTGCCAATATGACAAACTGAAACTGTGGCTGAAATCGTGGTTTGTTTTGTTTTAGAAAAGTCCCTCAAGAAGCTTTTCTTAAGCTGGGAAAATAGAAGTGTTTAAATACAATCTGTCAGTCATATACCGCTTGTAGTTACTTTGAGCCAAGTCATAATGCTGAAACACAAAATGACTAGTGTAGCATTCAGTAAATGCAAATACTGGGGACTGGTGTACGTTAACAATATAACAAGTGTAAAGAGGCATTTAACCACAAGGTTAAAGTGGTAGAATGTATGTGTTCTGAATTTTTTCAGGACATTTTCGGCATGTTGTTAATGCTTCTTTATGCTTGTTACATTGTCAACATACAGTAGTCTCCAATACAAGCTCTGACCAAGAAAGTGGGGGAACTCATAATTTAACTCCCATAATAATTTAGAGCACTGGAAATTATTCCAGAAAAAATTCAGTTGCATTTTTTTCTAGGAAACCCACAGTGCTGGCCACTCATTCCGCTGAACCACAGAGAACAGTCTGTGCTGAGATACCATACTGCCTAGTACACAGCATTTGCCATCCAAGATCACAAAGTTAACAGCTATCACCTTATTAGAAGGCAAGTTAAAGAGGAAGATAGGGTGAAACATAACTTCCCATATTGTCTTGCATCCCTCATCTTACTATGGCATAAGATATAGGGGGAGAATAAAAGAAGAGAAGCAAGGGGAAGAGGAAAAGAAGGTTGATACTGACAGGCAAGGGAACTAAGCAAGTTCCCTGAGGAAATGAAACCAAGCACAGGGAATTGCAGTGTAACTTAGAGGCTCCTTCACGTTAGTTAATGCTGGCATTGCCTGAGTTTTAAAGTGCCACCTCAATTTGGTTTGTGCCTTCTAAGTACTTTCAGATGGATGTGCTCTTACCGAGAAGCATTTTAGCCTCGGAGCCTCTTCCTTTGCATTCAGTCTTGTACCAACTGCACTCCCATTAGCTTTTACAGCCATGCCTTTTGTTCATGTGTTTATTTGATTAGAACAAATAAAAGAGCTTTCTGATTAAAGCTGACAGTTTTTAGCAAAATACTATACTATGATTGCTCTTTTTGCCACTTCAGCAGTCACTGACAATATTCCTCTACATGATTTAAAATTCCAAACCTTAATGTTTTCTGCAGCAAAAGGACTGCTAACTTAAGTGAAACAGACAGATTCAATTGTCACAGAAAAAGTATGAGAACAAACAAAAACAAAGCTTAACATGCAAAGAAATAACCAAGGCATGATGCACTGCAGGCTATACCACAAATGAGGAAACACGTTATCTGTGCTATTTTTACATTCTATTTTTTCCTGCAACTAAAATTATCCTAAAGTAACGAAAGGCAACAGGAAAGCTCCCGTATATGTGAAAAGGCATGCTTGTAAAGGTGTATGCTTGTGGTGAGCCTTTGAGCACTTGTAGATAGTCTGTCCTTAAGTTCCTCAAATGCCACCAAACTCAGCCATGCTAGCTTGTATACTCTGAAAAGTCTACTACAAAGCATCTTTGCTTAACAATGATCCCACCACAAAAGGTAAGCCTTTTTAATGATTAGAAATAAAGCAAAGATCTATGTTCCAGGAAATTTTATTCCTGCTTCAGGATTTTAGGAGATTTTTAGATGCACATGTGCTTCTGAAGTTTGGCTGCTGAGTCACAGCTAGACTTACGGATGATTAGACAACATTAATATCCCAATTTCCTGAAAAGTAGTTAGACTTTTGCAGACTCATGGAGCTGAGCATACATTAACATATCCATGTTTTGCTTTATGCTACAATCCTACACCAGTGTTCATTTTTCTTCTAACATAAAAAACACGAAACAAGCCTCACATTCCAGAATCTTCTTCCAAAACATCAATATGACTAACATGATATCAGCTTATAGTTTAACTAGAAAGAGGCCGTTTTATACCATTATCATATCTAATGCATTGTTTATTTTATATATATGTCTGATATGCAAGCACATATATGCTTTAAACATGGTAGTGCTGGTGGCAACAGCAATGGCATACAATTAGTATTATTTCTTTTCTATACATACAATTAGTATTATTTCAGTCAAAGCTCTTTGGGCACTTTATCCTTTCAAGGTCACAATTTTTGTCCTTCTTTGCCAGTCCTTGGTTCCTTACATTTCCAAATATAATTTATATCCACAATTCTGTTTAACATAGCAACAAGCTTGCTCCTTTTTGCACTGTAAGTCACAAAACTAGGGTATTAAGCAGAACTGAGATTGCCCTCATACTTTCATATTAATATTAAACTTTTAAAAAAACCACATACACTTTATAAGCACACCAAGTATAGCCTAGTCCCAGGGCACAACTGATACTTGAACACTGATCCTGGCTCACTTGGGCTGTTTGAAGTTTCCAGCTCAAGGGCTGCGGTCTGCAGCTCAGGCTTCTTACTACTGATCTCTATGATCTCCTAATTGGTGCTTTGGGCCTTGTTTAACACTTCTCTTTTTATCAAGAAGGGCACAAACCTCTAATTAAGTTTCAGGCACTTTAACTGATGTGGTCGAAAAGCTGATTCAATAATTGGAATAGGCTCTCGGTGCTCAAACTATGGTATATTGGCATGCAGAACACCACATGGCTGTTTGCATCTCTCCTGCTGTGCTAGAAAAGCAGGACAGTAAATGAAGCTTATCTTCTCTCAGATGGAATGCTGCTAGCTGTCCTTCGTCAGTGACAGAACATATCAGACAATTGCCATGTTGTAACTTGGCAGATAAACAACCTCTAAAGGTTCCAGTTACTTATCAAGAGCATTTAGGAACATGGTTCATTTTGGGCTTCAAATACAGAGCCCAGAAGATAACTGTCCACTCAAGGTGACAGCTGAAGAGCTCTGTAAGAATTTCTGGAAACTAATGCCCAAAGCTATTTCTGTGGTACGGAAGACTCCCCCTACCACAGACAACAAATATTTTATACTTCAAATCCCATTAGCCCTGCCAGCATATACAATTATCAGACATTCCAGTAGTCATAGTCCAAAGCATCAGACAGTATGGAAAATCAACTTAAATAGGGTTTACCTTGCTGCCAGTAACAGAATGTAGCAATGCCTCTCTACCTTGAAAATACTTCCAATTCCTTGAAATTGTGAAAATTCAAGTTGCCATTGGTCATGCCAACTGGGGATGATGTGTCCAACACATTTGGAAAGTGGCAGGATGGAAGAATGCTATACTATGGCCAGGCCATGACAAAATTGCTCTCCAGCTGTCAAGAGGAAGCACTCTGTTCTGGAAGAACTCATCAGAGTACCCTTTAAAAGCGGACTATCACCATTCAGCAGATGGTACACTCCTGGTTAATATCCAATCCAGCTAACATGGCTAGCAAAAAGAGCCATCATATCTATTCTCAGTCTTAAAACAGCTCCATGGAAGAAAAGAGCCTAATGTCTCCATAGCTGTTCCTGCTGTGTTTTTCAAGAAACATGTAATCAAGCTGTGCCTCAAGCCATGTTTATATTCTCTAAAATAAAACAGTAACAGTAAAGTGGATACCCAGCTATTAGTCTGCACAATACATTTTCATGCTGAACATTTACACATAACACCTTCCTACATTTAGAATAACCCAGTTACGTGGTGCAAAGAAAATGTTATTTCATTTTTTTCATGATTCAGATTCCACTCATTATTCAAAGAGTCATTTAAGCTACAGCCTTATACTTACTCACTTGAAAGCAAGCCCCACTGAGCTGAAGAGGATTTACTTCTGAGAGGACTTATGCGGTTTTGAACTGCTACATACTGTGTGTTGGACCCAGAGCTGATCTGCCCATCAACAGATGGCATTCTTCCACTGAGTGAACTCAGATTCAAGGGAAGCTCCCCACTGGTGAAGGGGGCAGGGCAGTGACTTTTTTGCAGTCCTCCTTCCCAAAGTTGTCCCCAGGGCCAACTTATACAATGTCCTGGAATTGTGAAAAAAGGTTTAAGGGGCACTGGGGGATTCAGGAAGAGTGGAATAGGCAAAACATTAGCTATCTTCTATTGGCAGGATCATGAATCTACATGGACACTACACTCATTGTCTGCAGCCTTTCTCCAATTGACAATCCCATGAGAAGCTTGGAGGGTGGCAACTAGGTGGAGGGCCTTTTCTGTGGTGGCCTTTCCATCTTTGAAACCACCACCCTATTGTGACCCAACTGATGACAAATCTGCCATCTTTTGGTGCCAGGTCAATACAGCCCTCTGTGTGGAGGCTTTAAAGATCTCCTGGGTTATTCAGAGTCCGAGGGGAATTACCCAGCTGATTCTTCTTGCTGGATCTTTTTATTGTATTTTTACTGTGTTTGTAAGCCGTGATGAGTCCAGCAGCCCATGTGTATACAAATGGTAGTCCAAACAGCTATGTTTTGCAAGGAGCTACAATTTGCCCAGGTAGTGGTAGTCAAAAGTGGCAGCCAAAAAGACTACGAATGACAGAAAAAGAAGGTATGTTTTGCAGGGAGCCATGATTTGCCCAGGAGACTATTTGCAAGCAGCAGTCAAGGTGTTGTTTCCTCTCATTTATCATAAATACTCTTCGGGTGTATTCTATGTAGCTGCTAACACTCTTGAATAAAAAGTGGCCCAGTTTAACCTATCCAGGCAAGGACTGTCAATTCCTGGAAGCGATAACTGAACTCTCAGTACACATGAAGCATATGTGAGTAGCAATACACAGAGAGCTCAGCAGAAAGCCTGCATGAATCAAACCCCCTGTGAACAAAGCTCACATATACTCATAGGGCTGGATCCAGAGAAGCAGAACGTATGCAGTCTTGTTTACAAATCCTGCCCCCTTCACCCTACGGCATCTCCCTGCACTGTCCCAGAATCAGTTCAAAGAATGACATGGGAAGGGCTAACAGAAAAGGAAATCAGAGAAACTGAGTAGAGGGTTGGGATGTATTAGACAGAACAGCTTTCTGCTCATGCAAGGCACTTTAGGGCCTAATTCATTAGAAATATGGGCATGAGATATAAATGACATGCATTTTAAAAGCCTGAAATGTTGATTGAACATTTTTTTGGGAGGGGGGATAAAGCCCAGGCTACAGCAACAGCTTAAGTATTATTTAGCTAACACTGAGCTTTGGTTGGACAGCTAGTTTCATACTGATTTGATGTGAAAATGTACATCATACTGCAATGGAACAGAAACAAAGAATTGTTGTATGAATTCAGGGGTTAGCCAGTAGCCTACGCTACAGTGAATCCCTATTACACTCTACTTACCTTAAGTCCTGTTACTCATGAAAACCAATCTAAGTCAACATTTTAAGAGTATATTTAGCTTGAAAGTAGTTTATGATGATCTAGAGGAAAACCGGAATCTGTATTACATCAAAATATAATTTTAATTGTGCAGCCAGTCTGTTTCCAGGTTTTAACTGTAATTGTTTTATTTGTTACTTTTGTGAGCCGTCCCGAGGCTATGTAGCAAGGGGACGGCATATAAAAACTTTAAATAAATAAAATATAGCTGAGCTACATCAACTTTGTGGTAGACAGACTAGCACAACCTAGAGCACACATTTCTTCTAAGATCAGCATATCACTGAGGAAATACATGATGCAAAATGAGACAGGTGATTCTGTTCCCAAGCCCCCAATAGGCTTTCTGCACACTTGGGCATTCTTGGAGTAAGCAGGTGACACGGACCCCTTTTTTCTGGGTGTTCTGTCACTGAAAATGCCGGGGCGAACATCTCACACAGAGGAACAGGTGGCTACGTCACTGTGGACTCTAAAGTAGACCTTTCTGGTCATGTCACATGGTTGAAAAGTCTTCTTCCCCACCATTCTCTGGTTCTACGTTATGCACTAGAGAAGAGAATGAAGTGCCATTTTCACAAAAGGTGCTTCTTTATATATTTTTTCCATTGGCTGATGTCATAGTGCTATTTCAGCATACAATATTCACCAAAGAAAAGAAGTACAGCTTTCAAATAAGAGGGTGGAATGCAACCTTGTTTTTCAATCTAGAGAAACCTAACCTATTTACTATGCAATGATATCCATATCTACTCAGGCATAAGCTCCACTGAGTTCAATAAGACTTACCCTCCGGTATATGTATAGGACTACAGCCTTAACATATCAAAAGAAAAACACTTGAATGTCAACAGGGTCAACCAGATGAACAGAAAATCTTTCAAGGAAATGAAAAGAAAAACTTTTTAAAAAATGGGAGAAATAAAAGCACTTACTCCTTGATTTGTAACTTTGGCACAATCCTCCGCCAACTTCCCAAACATGAAAGTATTGATGGTACCAGTCCCAGAATCTGAATTTTCTGACTCTGGAAAGACACATTTGAACAATGCTCCTATTGACATTTATTTAAAAACAGGTAAGGCAATGAATGCAGTGGTGGTTTCACTCTGTCACAAATGCTGAGAGGCCAGGAAGAGATTTTCATATGAATGAATGTGAATTCCATCCAGACCAATGACTAGTGAAACTAAGAAGAACACCTGCTTGTCCAAAACAAATGCTCAAGTCAGGAAGCATGCTTTACTTCCCAATGGGCCACAAAAGAGTAAGTTTCCATCAGTGTACAGCACAACACAATACACTTTGCAAATCCAATCTTGTTGATAAACATGATCAGCCAGAGGAATCACCTTATTTTAATTAGAGTAAATTATTTTTTGTGAAAGGCAGCATACTGTTTGACATTCAGAATGCTGAAAAATAGTTGTATCCAGTGGTGTGATTCCACTAGTATGAATCTTTCATCACTTTCAGAAGCCCAACTGTATCTTTATGCAAACAAAACCAATACTTTGATTCCACTTGTGCAAGGCATTCCACAAGCCTTATGATTTCATTAGACTTGACAGTGTTTCTATTAGCTGGGCTGGCAGTCTGCAACATAAATTGTTTTTTTTCTACTAAAACAGAGCTTGTGATAACCAAAAATTTTCTCAACTAAATTCTACCTTAACAGAATTGTGTGACATTGTTATTTATATACGGCACTGGTTTTCTCTTTTTCTGTATCTATTAGTGCCATACAATTCTTCTGTAATTGTTCCCACTATTTCCCACCCAAACCTTTAGGTTTTTGGTGCTTAACTGAAAACAGTCTGTTCAAATACCTTGAAGCACAGTCTTGAATGAAGTCCTATTTCCACGACCAGTTATATGTTGCAATTCAACAACTGTTCCCTAAAACACAAAGAAAAATCTAATTCAATAGTCAGTGACCTTTATAGTTGAAATGCCTTTGTTGACTTGCAGTATCTTTGCAACACTAGTTCATTATCAGGGTTTGGAGCAATAGAACATTTTTTAAAGCTCTTCATACATATACAAAAGCATATACAACCTAGTGATGGAAACCTATGATTGGCTGTCAGAAACACATGAAATAAGCAATCCTGAGGAGCTGTCAAATATGATTTTATGGATGGGAGGACAGAAGATGAGACTGACTCCCCTTCAAGCCTAATTTTCACACCCAACACTTTTTCTGAGCTAGTAACTAATTCCACAGAACATTAATCTGCAGTACCAACACTGATGGTCCCATGGCACTCAAAAGCTACCCAATTAATCACAACATTCATGCTTATGGTCTACAGCCAAAAAGCAAAGTCTAGCCTCCAGATGCATTTTTGTCACTGCTAATTCAACTGAATTTTATATGAATTTGTGCATTCCATAAAAATGTGACCTATCTACACCTCACTTCTATTTAGTTATTAATTTATTAAAATATTTTACAAATGGCCCTTCATTCTTATGGATAGCAAGGCAGTGTACAATCAATATGATTTCTAAATAGACATACTAGTACAATACAACACAAGTGATGAACTCAGAGCAACTGAAAAGTTAACATACCTGGGTAGTATTGAAGCTGTGCCAAGGAAGTAAAATACTGGCACCAACCAGACCTGTAAAAGGAAACTGTGCCTTCATGCTACCAGGAGACAACTTCACTTTACTCACTTTTATCCAGCCCACTGAGGAGTAGATACACTCTTGCTTTGTGTCTAGGCATGCGGGATAATATCCATGCCCATGTAGAATAAGTTCTAGCTAGCCCACCAAAACTTATATCTCCCAGTTCTTAGTCTTTAAACTGGAATGGGGCTCTGTTGTTTTCTATCCAATACTTAAAGCATTTAATAACTCATATGCAAATAATTCCTCAAACTAGGTAGCATGGCAATACTCCCATGACAGCTTCCCAGGATGGGCTGACAGGATTCATACTTTCCCTAGCCACATTCATCATGGTGATAGCATTATCATCTGCTGTTGAGCAGAATACCGTCTCCCATCTCTGGGCTCATTTGCACTTGGAACACAACTGCAGCTCAACACAGCTGGGCTCCCTCCAGACTAAACACTGCTGTTTTGGTGCTGCATTCCTAAGATTCATCAAATTACAACAGTACAGATGATCAGAGCCTTGCCTTACCCAGTGTGCTCCAAAAGAACAACCTCCTAGTATCCCCCAACCAGGACAGGTCTAGAGCAATGCCTTCCATGTGGGATTGCTTTTAAATACAGTTCAAAACATGTTGACTGGCTCAGAACACATCTCCTGGGTACCTTGCCAAGGATCTAGACATATCCCAGCCCTGACCTTTAAAGACCTCAGCAGTTTGGTACCATATATTTATGGGTTACACACACTCATGCAAACCTGTCCTGGCCTTAAGATTGGCCTCAGAGGCTCTATTTCCAAGCTCACCAGGATCTGTAAGCCTGGAAGCCACAAGAGACAGGCTTTTTAAAATTTATTTCTATGGAACTCTTTCTGAAGGGAGAGACATCTGGCTTCATCTTTATTAGTTTACCAAAAGGACTTGAAGCCTCTTGGTAAAGGCAGGTATAGAAGTGAACTAAATAAACAGATGTAGTATCCGCTAGAGTGCAGAGCTAGATGTTTAACTGTAAATTGCTGTGTTTACCATTTTATGTGTTTGATCTAAATCATTGGGCTGCATAAAGTCCTTAGGCTTCTGTTTTTCAATTTTGTGGTATAATGAGATTATTTTTGTTGGATTTGTGTTTTAAACTGTTTGTATGAGAGCTGCTCCAAGACAATTTTGACCTGAAAGGCAGCATATCAATGCGGGATACAAATAGGTTAGAGACCTAAATATGAAAACAATCTTCTTCCCTAGCTTATTACTTAGCATAATTTTTTGAGACAGTGAAACTTTTCAAACATGGAATATTGTAAATGTGATGCACCTGCTGAAGTGGCAGTATGGTTACAGCCTTGAGTGCTAAAAGGCCTCAGCTGCAACTTGCCAGGGCTCCTTTGGCATTACTTTTGTACACAAAGTATATATTTGCCTGTTTTGAGCCTATGCGTTACAGCAATAGCACTTGAACAATAAATACACAGCATAACCACTGTGATCACAATAGTATCTTTCTAATCTGCTTCTAGGTGGAAAACAGATGCAGATCCTCCAGAGTGATTGCTGGCATGTTAGCAGATGCCCCAGTAAACACTTCTGTCAAATTAACAAGAGCTTGTTTCCTTGTTAACAATGTTCTTCTGCCCGTCTTTCACAGTTACTTGGTTTACTTGTTTCTTCAGGCAGCAGGTTTAAGCTGCATTAAATTCTCTTCTCACCATGAGGCAAGTTTCCTCTTAGGAAATTATCCATAACAATCAAATCGAATACTGAACATATCTTTCACTCCAACACTGTAGCATACGAAATGTTCTTTTATGAAAAAATTATGGCAGTGATTTTTAGCAACTTAAACTCTCTCTGCTTCCATATTTATTTCATGAGTAGGAATTTGTGGTAGATTAAATTCTTCCAACTAAATGGCTTAACAATACAGATATTGGAAGTATAAGAGGGAAGGTGATTGGAAGTTTGTTTCTTTAAATCTGAAGAGGTGTTTTTGGGCAGGGGGTTTGCAGAAGTAAAGGAAAAATGTAGAGCCTTTCTATTTAAAGCTGCAATCATATACATATTTACTTGGGAGTGAAGCATTGCTAGCTTGATAGAACTGACATGTGGTTAATTATGTATAGGACTGCATGGTATGTTAATGGAAGCTTGGGACAGCACAACAGAAGCAAATGTGAAAAAAGACATTCATTCTCATTTTGGAGATGCAGCACTATTTCTGGTGCCTATATGCATAAAACAGGATGTAAATAAATGGTGATAGCACTTAAGGGCTCATTTAGAAATATCATAGTTCAAAATTTTTTAATCAGAGATAATACCTCCTGCATTCAAGTAACAAGCACCACAACAGAAACATATGGGATCCTTTTCAGATTGCTACTGTGATTTCATGTAGTATATTCTAGGAAAAAATGGGAATGAATCAAGAGCACTTGATTTTGTTAGAGGTTAACAATCAACTTGCCTCAGAGAAAAACTCAAAGGTAAGTGATGCTTTCCTGTAATGCTGTTTTAGTACCCCATATATAAAGCTCATACTCTTAATTATCATACTGTTATTAAACATTCTTTAAACATTACACTGCTTAAACTTCTTTAAGGATAGATACATATTGATTTTGAATTATATCCCTAAGACGACAATGCCTTACTCAACATCTGCAAATCAAACCCAATTTTCCTAGACAGCAGTATACCAAGCTTCTAGCAGTGTGTATTTTAAATAATGTTTTGTTCATTAATTACAAAGCAAATACTTAAGTACACTATTGACTTGTAATAATATAGTCTTATAGCCATTCATTCATCAAATATCTCTTCAGCCCAAGTAGTAGGGCTTCAACTCTGCATTTCTCTTTGGAAACCATCCACATCATCTTACTGTATTTTAGATTTCAGTTACCCCAAATTCATTGTGAACTTGATTGTGTTTGTGTATCTTCCTGTTAATATAGTTACATTTTTTATTTGTATTTCTAAATTCTTAGGACAACATCCATTGAGGCTGCCCCTGTACCCCTGAACTTGGAGAATCACTGACACCCAACAGAAAGCAGGAAGCATACAAAAGCTGGAATTGCCTGTGTGCTCCCCTTGCCCTCCAACATATTTAAATAACCTATTTCAGCAGCCCAGCTGTTTTTCTCCTCCACAAGAGAAGAGGCTGAGGTACTTCTGGGATTCATTGGAAAATGGTAGTGTGATGCCTTGCCCCTCCCCAGAACTTCCTCCATCCTGGCACTGAAGCCCAGCCATGGCATGAAAAGAGAACACACTGGTTATAAGAGTAGAAGGAAGGCCCCCCTCCAAATATTTTTCAAGGGTTGGGACTCCTACTTCAAACACAATATGGTGAAGACAGGATTGCACCCTTAATTTCTCATTAACATTTTGTATTTGCATTTCATAATAAATATTTCAGTAACATCCTATATTGTTTTACGTGAAACACACTAGCATTTTGTCTATAGTCTTCCCAGCAAGCACAATACAGCAAAATCAGCAATTTCCTAAAAAGTCAGGTTACTGCAGCTTCCCTCATACTCATTTTTCCTTTTAACTTCTTGGTTCATTGATCAAAAAGGAAGCAAAATATCACAACTTTAGTTTTGTCCACATGTTTGCACACAAAAGAAAAGCAACTCATGAAGAGTGAACTGCAGAGTTCGTTTTCAAAACAAAATTAAAAATTAGCTTATATCTCCAAGCAGCAGTAGCGATTAAAAAAATAAAATTAACTTAACATCAAATAAAAGCAACCACTGTAGGAAATATTGGTCTCACTTGTTTTAGTCTGTATGTTAGAGGTTTAACATGGTGGTCCTAATCTATTGGAGATAGTAGCACTGAACATTTAAACTGAGAATAGACTCCTAAGGTATAATCCTACATGCATGAGAAAGGAAAAATGAGGGGATTTTTTTTCTGTATCCACTTGCATACAATTGTTTTTTTCTCTTTAATGAATCAATGGATTTATGATTTTTTTTAACTGGAGGATCACATCACATGCATTTTTTATTCCCTGTATATAAAGCTATACAAGGAATATTTTTAAAGAGACTAAGCACCCATAGCCAGCCCTTCCAACACACCATGCCACTGGACCATTTTTCAGGACTGCTGGCTTGATCCCCAAAGCTGGTTTGACAAACTCTCTTGTGCAATCTCCCAGAGAAAAAGGTAAAGGGAAGAAAAGTTTAAAAAGAAAGCCATCATCATCCTAAGCTTACTTGTGGTGGCTGAAAGGAAGGGGAAATCAGTGCCAGCTCTCCCCTGTGTCTCCTTGGGTGCAGTTGTCTAGTAGCCCCATGTGAGAATACCAATCATTTTTTGCCACTCTTATCTTGGGACTCAATAATTGATTCCCTGTACCCATGACATCATCAGTCACACAAGTCTAGACAACATGACAATTCATTGTGGATATAACTCCCCATGAGATGTTCAGATGACTTGCCCCAGCATTAACCATCCTAGGGAAATAAGTCTGAGTTTGCACAACATGACAGCCTACTGAGTGTTGTTAAGATGGTATTCCCTGTATAGCTTTATATACAGGAAATAAAAAATTGCATGTGATTTGATCTCTAGTTTAAAAAAATCATAAATCTAAGACATTGTTGATTCATTAAAGGGGAAAAACTCTATTAAGCCAGTTTTTAATCACAATGGCATTTAAGTTTTATGCCCCAAATAAGCTCTAATCTGTGAATAAGATTCTTAGCTTACTAAGGGAGGAAATAATAAAAAGACGATGTTTCTCCAACCAAAGTTCTAAATAAATAAGTCCAATGAGCAGGAGAAGCTGTTTTCCAATAACGGTGGACTTAGTAAAACTTACTTTCAAATAACCATTTATGAGCTGTAAAACACAGGAACAGCGTGTTTCCAAAAACGAACAAAACACATCATGAGTAATTTAAAGCGTGCATGTGTTGATTTATCACTGAGAGAACTTGTACTTAGACGTCTACAAAAGGATCTTCCCCTACAGGGATGCACACGGCTTTGACTTGTAAATCAAGGATTGTATTCCTAGCCAGTCCCACAACATGACTATTCCCACTCCGGACAACAATCCCGCCTCGTCCACGCTTGGCAGAAACTCAAATGAAGGACAGGCGAATTACAGACGGAGATCAAGCCCAGCTGCTTAAACAGAGAAGCAAGCCTACCTGCACGTATTTGTTGGCACAGTCGCATCCCAGCTGCAAATGCTCGAAATCAACTTTTTGCAGGTAGCTCGGCAGGGAGTTTTTCAGCACCCTGGCGGATCCTCTCAGCACTTGAACGGGCATGGTTCCTGTCCCAAAAACTGGGCTCCTAGGCCATGAATAGCACCCGCCTCGGTTCGGACCGCACACCAAGGAACGGAAAAGACAACCACCGCTCGCTCCGGCGCGGGCGCCAACAAGACACTTCACCGAGATTTCAATCGCGCGGGCGCTCTGGCTCGTCCTCTTTATGGTTCGCGGCGGCTCCGCGACCCGGAAGTAACCTCGCGCGCAGGCGCAATTGGTCAACGGGTCTTAGGCGAGCTTCGTTTCTTGCAGGGGCGTCGTGTACTTTTGGCGGGAATGCAGGTTAAGCCAGTGGTTCGACGGGTGGTCGCCTTTCGTATTTTCTCGGTTAGATGAACCAGTTGTGGAAGCTGGGGGTGGAGGGAGGATTTACCTCGCTCCTCCTGGTCTGCGGTCCTTTTCTGGAAGGCTCTCGAGCCTCAGCGAGTTGAAAAAGAATCGTGGGTCCTGACTCCAGTTTGCTGTGAAGCTGTTTCTTCTGTTGTCTTCGGTGGGCCCCAGTAAATGTGTGAAGAATTGCAGGTCGAGGTCCTAAGATACTTTCGGTGGGGAAGTGACGCTGCTCCAGCCCTACATGCTTCCCACGCTAGTCACTCCTATTGCGGATAGAGGGATTAATGAGTCGAGATGCATTGCATTCTAAATCTGCGGGCGTATTTTTTTACATCTGAGTAGAGCACTCAGTAGGGTCAGTACACTGTAGGGTCTGGTCTTGTGCCTGATAGGGGTTGTCTAGAAAGCCACAGGATAGGACAGTCATCAGAAATGCATTTCGACGTTGAAGCTGCTCCTCCAACCTTGAACTGCCCTGCTGGCAGCGCAGCTCTTTCTCCAGTAGCGGCAATTACTTAGGAGGCAGAATGGGGCGAGAGGAGGAAGAGGCTCTTTCCAGGATACAGGGAATCTCACAGTGCCTCAGATCTTCATCTTTTCAGACAGGGGAAAAAAAAACATACCTGGAATTAGTTGTCTTTCACTTTTGCAGGAAAGGAGAGGAGCAGAGGCAGTACTTGTTTCAGTGCTCTGAAAAAGAGATCAAAGAAATACAGGCATCTGCATTGATGGCACAGTTAGGGTGCAATTCTGTGCAGGTTTAGATGGAAAAAATCCCTGCAATTCTAGCATGCCCATGCCAGCATATTCACAATCTCCTGTTCAAGGATGCAAAACTATTAGGCTTTTTGTGAATGGGGCGGCATATAAATGTTCCAAATAATAAATAAATATTATCTCCTAAGCCTGGAATTCCTTTTTTTCAGTTTAGGTGTGCGGCTACTTGAATGCAGGCACTTCTAAGATTACTCACACATGCTGGACAGTGATTAGAATGTTGGACTTTTGAGACCTGGGTTCTAGTCCCCACTCAGCCATGAAGCTCACTGGGTGACTTTGGGCTTGTCACAGACTTTCAGCCTAGTCTACCTCACAGGTTGTTAGAAGAAAATGGAGAGAAGGAGAACCATTTAAGCTGTCCTTGGTTGAGATACAATGTAATGAAGTAATACTGATTTAATTAATAATCTGCAACTGCCCTGTCTGAAACCTATGCAAGAATTACAAAAGTCATAAAAGAGAGAGAAGAGCCCTATTCTATGAACACCTTGTCCAGTATAATGTGTAGATATAGAAGGAAGTGTGAAAACTTTAACTGTGCTGCTGCTGCATTTAATGGATTACACTGTTTAGGTTTTATGGTGTTAAATGTTTTCTATGTAACCTGTGAAAACATTTGTGCTATTATAGATAACTAATGTAGAACAATTAAGTTTCTTGAAACTTAATTTAAGTCTTTCCCTGAAGGAACTGTTATCAGATGCATTAGTACTGAAGATCTGAGACATGAGATGTGGCAACTGTTCTATGGAGAAAAATGTGTACATGCTCTCTGCACTATGGAGCCATATATCTTTACGATTTAGTTTTTAGAACAGAGGTTTATTTCCTCTGAACTATATGGAGAGGTAGTTTTCCATTTATTTATTATTTTATTATAGAAAACTATTTTGTGGATTTAGGTACAATTTGCTACTGGTTTTCTGCCAGAACTATTGACAGAAATGTTTTCCAAATGCTGTGGAGTTCAGTTGTGGCAGCTAGTAATGTATATCCATTTTTCAAGCTGTTCCAGAAATGTTTATATGGAAGGACAACATATAATGGTTTAAAATGAATACATAAAATAAGTGTTTTAGCTGAATTTGTTACTGTATTTATATAGAAGATAAATATAATGTACTTCTGGTTGTTAACAACCATTCACACCAATAATGAAAGATGGTAAAATTGATTATACATGCATAATCCAAATGGGGAGAGGTGCAGCAGGTAAAACAGGCACATAACAATTTAACAGAATGCATAATTCTATTAATTTTAGACAGAAAAAAAGTCATACAATTCTCAGCACTTGCCAGCTAGCCATTCTAGGAGTTGTAAGACATTTTTCTGTTTAAATATGCATAGGATTGCAGCTTAACCAACAACAAAGAGGTAAGAGGATGAGGGATTGATATTTGCAAATGCAGATACATATGCTCTGGCCTCTGTTTTATTTTGGGATGCAGTGCTCTGTCTTGACTTCTTGTGAGAATAATATTAGCCTACCTTGCCCTAGCCTTTGCACATATTTCTTCAGACATATATGTGAATCTCTTTGACATTCAGGGAAAGTGCCTACTGTTGTGTGAAAAGATGGAGATGAACACATTTACTAAAGTACTGGGCAAATGACTTATTTTGTTGACACATCTCAGTATTTCCACATTATCCACTATTGGTACATAGAATTAAAATGACTTCTTTTCAAATGAAATATTACAGCAAAGAAACTGGATCATTGTTGACTTGAGTGCAGCTGAACAAATGGCTTTTTTCTAAAATAATTGAATTTGCATTTTCTTCCCCTAGAGACCAGTAAATGCACCTGTCTCCGGAATGCATTGGCTGTATTGCATAAATTCATTGAGGTGTCAGCAGTATTGTTTTAGGTGTTGTATATTCTGCAACAACTCATGGTTACTAAATGCAAAGTAAAGTAAATGTAAATTGGGCAAGATACAGTTTCCATAAAACTAAATGTATTGATAGAGAAGATAAAGAAAAATAGCCATTCTGTCTGAGAGTAGCTGTCTGATGGCAAATGGCTGGGTTTGGTACTTTTGCAAATGCTGAAAACATGCAAGTGAATGACTCTTGAGTGGCCCTGGATTTGTATAAAAATATACAGTGACTGAACACAGACAGACAAGGGAGGAGTGAGAAGAATTGTAAAAACTTTGCATCAAATTTAAATGTAAAACTTGACATCAAATTCGGAATTAGCACATCAAAATACCATGAAATGGGCAATTTGAGCAAAAAGAGTGTTGATACTATTATTTGTATGGAATCATTGCAATAAAGTTATTGTGTGCATTAACAGATTAATTTATTTCCCCTTCTCTCCAAATTTGAAGGCCCATCATGAGAAAATCAAAATAAATAATTAATGAAGTCTAGTGCTTTAAATCTTGAATTCAGTCTTGGTGGGTCGTGGCCACAAAAGATATTTGAAGGGGGTCTTTGGTGAAGGAAAGGTTGAGAACCACTGTTGTACAGAATTCTTTGCAGATAAATCACCAGACTCATTACCCACTAAACCAACATGAGCAGGTAGTCAAAAAAACACAACCAAATTTCCATAATACTTAGTTTGGTGTTTAGAGACCATATTTCATTTACTAGTGCATTCTTACAAGTTACTCTGCCAGCTATATTAATTTTTCCTCAGTCTATTTCATCAAACTTTTCAGCGGAATATTATTTTTTGACTCTATGTTGCCTGTTCAGGTTGGCATTACTGCTGCTTTACAATATTGTACCATGATTAGCTATTACTACAGTATAAATAATGAGAGCTGTCACAATGTGCTGTTTGACAGGATTGAACTCTTGTCCCCTTAGATTTCCTTGGTGGCTTACAGTACCATGTTTAGAACTTGCACAAATGGTTTTCTTGTATTTGGAAATGGATATTAACAAAGACATCTCACTTTTTTAAAGCTCCTGCAAAATGCAGTACAATGGATATCAGTAAAAGTCTTCTATTGAATCTGACTTAGTGAATTGAATAAAAGTAGGAACTATACTAGGTGCTGATTGACTGTAAATTTGTCACTCCATTCAAAGCGATAGTGAAGATGTACATTAAATGCATCTTAACTGGATTCTGTAAAATGAATGTTTGCTGTCACCAGTTCAAATTAAGATGAGGCTGCTGATCTTGGTCAGCATTAACAAAGATACAGTTGTCTGGCTGAAGCATATGAGCCAGTGTCATGCTTCAGATTTGGGAATAAGGAGTTGGGGCAGAGGGCCAGTGATAGCTGAAAAAGATACAGTTGCTATCTGAAAGATTTTCTTAACTGGTTGTGTGTTAATCTGTTTCCTTTTATATTGTGTTTTTAATTGTGTTTCAATAGTTCTGCTGTTTTTAAGAAAGATTTTGATGTTAGTGGCTGCCCAGATTTTATTATTTCTTTGGTCATTTTGACTGCTGAAGTTCAAATGATTACATATAAATAACCAGACATTATTGTATGGTATATTCATAGATGCACATCTTTAAGATCGAGCTTTTGAGGTGAGAGAAATACATTCAAGATGAATATAACTCAGATTATTTATGTTTTATGTGGGATTCTTCTAGTGATATCTAGCCCGTATTTTGAAAAATATATTTCATAAATTCTTATGGGGTTCTACTCTGACAAAAATAACTATGCACAAATAAAGGGGAGGATCTGGTTTTCTTGATCTTGCTTTAAATCATTAGAAATCTTTCTTATACTAAATGTTGGTCATTTCCAGTCAAAATAGACCATTCTGAGATTTTCAAGTTTGAATCCTCTTCCCAAACAGATTACATTGTGTTTTCATTATATTAAAACAGTCAGGCTACCTCCTACAAGTTATAGTGGTAACAGAGATATGGTGCTTAGTATCATATCATTACATTTTAATATATTTTTTGCATGCAAAATTAGCTCCATGGCAAATCAAGATTTAAAATTTGGAAGAAAACTTTGTCTGGAAGAAAACAAAATTTCAAGATGAAAAGTTCTTTATTATTT